TAACTTTCTGAATTCTCAGGTGCTGAGAGCGAGTTTGCCATACAAGCGGAATATATTGACCAAGGCATTCCTTACGACTGCGAATCTATMCTGCATTATAGAGGTAACGCATTCTCCAAGAACGGACAGGATACAATCACCTCTACGTACTGCTCTACTCTGGGAAACGATGATAAAAGGTTATCGCTGCTGGACTATAAACGCATCAATAAATTATACGGATGCGACGATCCAACCTGTAAGTAAAGCGTAYTCATTATTTTCATAATCACAATTAATGTCCTCGTTTTTTAGCAGTAATATATATAAACATGATTACTACCATCTTGTATAATCATAGGAAAAACAACAGTAAGGAAAAATATGAGGTCTCTTTTCATCTAATCGATATAAAGTCAATCTCGTGATTATTTCTTTGATTAAGATATGGAACAATAGAGAGACATTGTTAATTTTAGGGGAACAATTGAAGGAGGAACTGCAGCAGTCGAAACATTAAACTGGAAACGTTATAAGCGGGAGGGAAATAAGAATCGCTTCATCGTCCTTTCATTATTTCCAACGAAAACTGATTAATACTGATTACTGACAATCTCCGGCAAAAACATATGGCACCTAAAATTGTTAGGTCCTATTCCCCTTACCCCACGGCAATGTTGTTTGCGGAGCACAAAAAGACATGAATTGCTGGCAGGGGAAGTGATCGCAAGTGACCCGTTTATATTGCATAAGATTGTAGTGATAGCAGTAAGCGGTGTTAATATTTTTTTTTTCTCCTTCTCCTTCTCCTTCTCCTTCTCCTTCTAGAAAATTTATTTTTGGAGTATATGGAGATATATTGACTAATATGTTATACATTTCGTAACAGATCGTTACTTCACGGTTAAAGTCACAACAGATGACTCATGGTTGTCTGGGACCGACTGCTACGTCTACATGAAGCTTCATGGCAGCCGAAAAACGTCGTCTGAGTTTGAACTCGATCTAGACGAGTCGGGCTCTTCAGATCTTTTTGAGAAGGGAACGTAAGTATTCAATTATAGCCGCAAGAAGCAGTAGCTCTTTTCTAAAAAGATCTGCACATCCGGAAAAGCCGCAAAACTGTAGCTCTTTTTTGAAAAGATCTGCATATCGAACGGAGTTTGAAAGGTTCTACGGAACATAGTATATTTGGGTTATCAGACATGTGAGATGATCATACCTAACATTTTGTGTTTTATGCAT